ATATATATATATATATATATGGAATTGTACGCAGAACTTTGACAGTAATGAGTGTTGACACTTGTCAAATCCTTTGGGATCTTGAGTAGGGAAGTAAAGTCAGTCCTCTTTATATCGACCCATCACATTAATTCCCGGTCATGTTCCTTTTTATTCTATCTCGGTGCGTTTCTTTTCATACACTAGTGTTTTTGGCAGAACCGGCTAGACGGAGAATTTAATTTTCAGAATACATCCATATCTAGATAATAGAGGTAGTGTTTGAGCTTACCGTACCGTGCTGATATCAACCTGATCATTGTTCGTGTCTCTACCACAATATACAATATGTTCCCCGAAGCATTCTCGAGAGCGTGTCACTGTTCTACAGTTCAATACCCAAGGAAAGGAATAACACAATGAGACTTGGAATCAGACGTCCTTTCTATTTATTGTTAGTGTCATATTATTTAAATGCAGCATGGTTTCATTTACAATATAATTATATAAGTGAAGATTATCATTGAAATAAGTCGAATTTAATATAGCAGCATATAACTACTACATTGTACCTAGCTTGTTATAAAAAGAAAACAAATAAGTACGGAACCATCGAAAAATGCCGTAAATCGAACTCAAATTAGACTTGGGTAGGAAAAGAACAAATAAGTCATATGCATGGAAACACTTGCAAAAGAAAACAAAACAAACATAACAAAGAGAAATAGATCAGGTATTCTGGAAGGATAGGCGTCCAATAATATTTCCACTGGAAAGGTACGACTTCGTTTTGGAGAAATATGTACGAATGCAAGCAGTATACGGGGAATCAAAATATCTTTCAATTCAAAAATCATAAAGGCAAGAGTCTGACTAAATGCTGAAAGGTACGACATCGTTTTGGAGAAATATGTACGAATGCAAGCAGTATACGGGGAATCAAAATATCTTTCAATTCAAAAATCATAAAGGCAACAGTCTGACTTAATGCTGGTGTATTTCCCCGCAAAACGTTCAGCATTAAGACCAATGACAACAACTGGTCAATCCGTTGTTACAATTGCAGTATAAAGTGACAGGGTGAAATGATTTGCTGAGTGCTTTTGTTATGGTATTTCAGTGGGGTAGCATTAAAAAGTCGACAGCTGATCCACACAAGGACGTATATCTACCTACATACCTTGTCCCCAGTACACATACGAATACACCATACATAGAAGCACGTGTTTAAAAATGACCTAAGCTGTCCACAGGGCTTGGCAACCTATCAGCAAACCAATAAAATGTTTGACACTACCGACGAGGTAGATCTATAAGTTGCCTCTTAAACCGTGCAATGGGATAGCACAGATCGATTGATTTGTTATTTTTAAAACTTATAATTGAAAGATGGTATTAAGACAAGAAACGTAATGTTATTTTGGGAGAAAAAAAATTTTTTTCATAACATTTACTTTTAGTAAATTATTTTCGCATATATTCCAGCAAAACAGTATTGGTTTTGAATTCAACTTTTGTGGAAAAAGTCATTTATACAAAACGTTACACACGGATGTTCTGTGAATCGTTAATGAAACTGCTCACAAATATGTACAAAAGAGTGAGAGAGTGTCAAACTATTGTAACCAAAGGTGGGATTCTAATATTCAAACTTTGCGGTAACGATTATTCCGCGAAAAATGTTACCCCTGATTTAGGTAAGAACTAAACCCATTCTTAACGGAACCCTTATCTGCCATGGACTGCTAGAACTGAAATCCGAAAAAAATACACGCAGGGAAATTATTCTTTTTTTACCAAAATAGCCAAAACTATGGACCACAAAAATGAATTTAGCATGATGCATGCGCGAAATATAAGCATGTACATAGCCATGCTATTATAGTGTTGTCTAGGTAAGCTGTGTGTGCATTTGTTTTCACACGACGAATGTGTTACTTTTGATAGATAACTTATTGTCAAATTGTTTATTTCCTAGTCTTGGCGTCAAAGCTTTGTGTAAAGGAATATTGATAAAAATGCAAGCAGACAAGCTGTGAACTGCGTATCCGCGTATTAGAAAAAACCCAATTTGAACCTTAAAACACATGCGAGAAGCTTTAACTCTGTGATCCTGCTTACGTTACAAAATGCTTTTAACAGACATTTAGTTATTTGAGAATGATACTCTATCTCTGTAAACTAATACACCAGGGATCTAGTTGTCCAAGAGAGAATAACATGCATCTATAAAATATACCCCAATTTGTAAGACACTATAACACTTTAACTGCAGTTATATTGTGAATAGGCTTTCATGTAAATGCATTAGGAATTCGTACGTATTTTTGTTTACCTATGGCGTGCAAAAATATCCTTTACTTTGCGATGTATTAAAGAAATCATAAAATAGATATTAATATATGTGATATAAGCCTATGATAAGGTGTGATCGAGCAGCTGTTTGGTTTGGTGGTGTGTTATTTGGCTTTTAAGGACGTGCCAGGTTTTGGTGGTGGCGGAAAGCCAGAGTTTCCGCCCCCCCCCCCCCCCCACCGACCTACAGCCAGGACCGGCAATGGCCCCACGAAGGCCTCGAACCCGCGATCCAGTGGTGGAGGGCTAGTGGTATCAGAATGTAGAGCAACTTAACCACGTGGAAACCGGGCCCCCCATCGAGCAGCAAGCCATAGCTGTCCACCAAACATGTGTGAGGACGACAAGACAGAGATATTGTAGATGATGATAATTCCTTCCGAATAGATTTATCTCAATGCAAGCGAGTTGTACTGACTCACCATATACATTAATGTATCACCTCCTGTCAAGAAGTCACCTAATATCTCGATCCTGACCCATCATTAATGGAATAGCGTACTGCTGAGGGAGTGTTCGCCTCAAAATCAGGTTTTACTGAACACAGAGAGAGGAAGCCTTGGAAGCAAAATCGCTAGTAAGTCTGTACTGAACCTCATGTCCATTATCATTACTCGGTGGTAATAACAGTCATTACTAGAACCCGTATACAACAGAGTATATTTGCCTTCCAAAACAGGTTGACGGCTTAATTCCCAAGTTATATCTCAGACTGTCCTTTAAATATCTTACAGAGACCTTATAAAAGTTAAACGCAGGCTTTGCAAGGTTCGTTTATCCTTCAACTATAATTAAAATGGATTTCCAACATCAGGAAAGGTAATGAAGATTGATCTTATACCGAGGTTTCTTTGTCTTATATTCTGTGATGGGAAGTAATTTAACTACTTTTATCTTAATTGATAGATTGATGGAAATTATCAAGAAAATACAGCATTTCCTGATACGGTCTCATTTATACCGTTTACATAGACTAGTCTCGTAATTACACTATTTCAAATGGTTCTTTATGGAGATGGCGTAATATAAATCTAACAAAAAACCTCTTATCCAACTTCGATTACTTTGAAACACATGGTGTTTTGGTGTATAGTTACCGAGCCCGAATTGCCCTCCGTCTTACACAAATAGACTTTATCATTTCCTTCCCGAGACTGTGGTTCATCAATACTCTTGGTCAGTCACGATATCATCCTAAGTGGTTCCGGCCAAAATGAATTCATGCGAATTGGCGTTTTATTAAGGAATGGGTGGAGTCTATTTATTTGGTAGAACAGGTTGTTTATAACTACGGCATTCTGATCAATCAAAATGCATAAGTTTTGAACATAATATGCAGAATAAGTTCCATTAACAAGAACTAAGGTCACAGATATGTCAGAGAAACAAGGTATTGCTTTAAACACGTAAAACCAAACATTGGAATTCTATATGTGAGCAACGCCATACGACAGTTATGCTGACAAATTACTTTTCAGACGTGTCATAAATTAATAGATCATGACTTCAAGGCCATGGATAGAAGAAGAATATCCCTAAATAATGCTTCCGTAAAGCTGCTATATGGCTTGGCTATTCCTCAAAGAGCTCGACTAACCTTTACTGATTTGTAATAGCTTAATGCAATATTCCGGTAACATGTTTTCACAAGTAGACATCTAACTATAAAATCAGCCAAAATGTCTTGTATCCAACACGATTTGAAGAGAACAAGAGAAGCATAACCCGTTTGACAACGATATCTGAACATTTGTTTGAAAAATTTCACTGATGCGCCATTTTAATCTAATGGGAAGTGAAGCAACCGGGGCTTGGCTAAGAGGGAAGATTCATTTCGATGACTTTTAAACCATCGTTAATAAAGAGGATGCCAGCTTGATATCCGTCCATGTCCAAGGTCATCTGTTGATGCATAGTAATAGCGCGAGTTTGTCACTAGAATGGTTCCGCATGATTCGGAGATAATAAATGTCTCAGAAAAAAACAAAAAAACTGCGGATCATGGTGAATTAGTAGGGAACGCTCCAGCAACAAGGACAAACATTTATAGACAGTTATACATTATCAAAATAAAATCGAAATTCATTTTTTTTTTTTTTTATAAACTAATCAATTAAAAAGCCGGAAAATAACACAAAACCGTATTATAGGTTATACTGAGTACTTTTTCTGACATTTACTTCGAAAAGGCTTAATACTTATTCATTTTATAACGAGGTTGTTTTGTGCGTGCCCTTTGGTACCGAAATTTTGCCTTAACCAAATGGTGTGTTTACTTTAATGGGTAGAAAAAGTGTTTGATATGATCCATAAAATGTACTTTGTTTGGTATATATGTATTACTTATCAACACCTGCATGTATTCCAAAGTATGCTATACTAAGAGGCGACCAATGAAGAGCTCCCTGTTGGGGTTTTCGTTCTGCTAAAGGAATATTGAAAAAATAAAAATGGATTTGCTGCTCCAATGCCAATCTTGGGATCCATATCCGTTCAGTCTCAAATCTTCGTTATTTTTTGTGGAGGTGGCACTCTATGCACCCAACCCCATGGGATCTTAGCTTTTATAAGGACGTATAACCTCAACGAAAGCATTCTCATGGAGCAGAATAAGACTTCAGCAAATAAAGTGGTGTGTGACAGTGTAAATAGGATGAATACGAAAGGTTGAAATATTAAACTGTAATGGTATTTTTCTTCTTAATGATCTATTGTTGACTTGAAACATTGACATTGTTTCAGGTTTTCAACAGCATTTTTTCATGTTCATTTATGAAATTGATTTAAAAATGATCAGTGCAATTTGAAATCATAATTTGCTTGTATTCAGACACAGTCAGCCGTTAGGTCTAAATAGTTTGAACCCCAGTGTGCACTGGAAAGCACTGGTTCAACTCCCAGTGACTTAGGTTGGGCCTCCTTTCTGAGTCTCAAAATAATTGAATACATATGGTGAATCTTTTGGCAACCTTCCGTAAAGAAATCGGCTGTCTGTGTGAATTATATGTGTTGTTTTAGAATAGAAAATAAATAGGACGAAAAACGGTAAGAGACACCTTTCAGGAAGTCCCCAATATTCAAAAACAATATTGGTTTATACAAATAAATTTTGAGAGGCACATGATTGCAAGAATGATTTAAGAGCGAGCAAGAAAGGAATAGAATGAAAACAATTACACACATTCCTGCTGAGCAGGAGTAATTAGTCGAGGTCCAAAGCAATGTATGAGAACCTTAAAATACGCTCACTGCCACCACACCAGGGTTAATATATAATGCTTCTACAATTCAATAATGCATGGGGAATCCTATTTTGGAGCGACTGGTCCAGTTACCAATACGAATAACACACAATGCTAGAAATTCTCTGCTCAGGTGATGCTAATACAGATATGGTAGATACTACAGAAATAACATGTACATCTTTAAAGTGGGTAATACATTATATAGCTAGAGCGAAATGAATTCGAGATAAATTGTTTGCTTAGGATTACGATATGTGTAATTGATATCACGGAGACAAGGCGTGTTTGCCGAGTGAAACAAACGGTAGGAGAGTTCACCAGAGATATGTTGCTTAGTAACACATGTGTACATTAACACCAAATACAGGCTCGTATGCGATATTTTACAGTGCAGACAAAACTATCTAAGAACTAGCTGCTCCTTGTTATAACAGCATACTACATAAGACACGACAGGCATTTAAACACATGAATTGCAAACATTGTAACATTTAAGTCTGAATCTTGCATTCGTCGATTTCATGGAGTATTTAGATAGGTTTGTCTTAAGTAAAAATTAATTGCGAAGCAGTTTATATTTTATTTGTGTGAAGACTAGTTAATCTCATCATCCAATGATGAGATCGTCCAAAGGAAAGTTCAATCGCTTTTTGTCAATTATACCATTAATTGTTTACACCTGGAACTTGATTAAGTCTACAATGAGGGCAGTTGATTTACAGGATATTGTGGATGTCTACGTGTAATACTGGTATTAAAATGGGTTCTGTGGTTGAATGGTTGATGTGATGGACCCATGGATAAATAAATTATTTGGAAATGAATATTTTACTGCAGAAAAAAGCGAAGCGTTAGTATGCACTGAATTGATTAAGTTTGCCTATTTTAAGCCTGTCTTTTCCGTTTTCGATTCGACACCACGCATAACGTAACAACCAGATGTTGCAGGGTTGGACAATGCTCAGCGTTTTGCTACAAATTGAATTACTTTATCAAGAACGTGACATGAACAAGCATTTCGTGAGAGTTGTAATTATATATATATATATTTTTTTTTATGTTATTTGAGAAACTGTATATCCCATTTTAGACAGTGTATGTAACAAGATTTCCAACTCGAATTTATTGATTATACATGTAGATGTTAAAACATAGTCGACTAGAATGTACTATTATCAACTCAACTGTCACTCATGGATGATCATCTCCATCTACTATGATTTTAACTTGTACGTATGATTTCATATCCATATTTAACACTGATATGGAACATTCGATGCTTTGTCGACAAAAAGAAAAAAAGCCGCGGTAGTATTTCGACCTTGATATGCTGGTAGACATTAGGGGCAACCTGTGTCATACCCAAAAACAGCGCGTCTTAGAATAATTGTTCACATACATTTTCATCGCAGACTTACTCTTAAAGACAAGAACTGCTATTCGGCGCTTATTGCTTGCTTTTATATCTGTAGGTGTTATAAAAATAAAGCAAGCGAAACCAGTTATTGAGCTTGCTACGGAAGCTCTATATGTTGAAACAAAGGAATATATGGATATTTTCTCCAAGCAAATGACCTGCATGATCCTGCCTGCATTCGGCTGGTATACGCAGTGAATCCCACAGAGGTTGTTATTAATGATTCATATATGTGAGTATAAAACAGATATGAAATCGAAAAAGCAGTTAGAGAGAAACACAGAACATTACGAAAATATTTTATGGACTGTTTATGAGTTAAATGCCAAAATGGTCATACCTGCATCGGACTCGTATACATAGTGGACGTCTTTCACGTCGTATTCTAGGATCATATCCCTCAATGCCTCGGTAACAGGCGGCTTCATGTAGATCTCGTATCCCGTGCGACCTCCCAATCCTGTGGGTATGCTGGTGGTGACGTAAGGCATGGCAAATCTACTCGTGTAGGACTCGATGATACCCTGGGAGTGGAAAGATCGGCTACCCAGTAATACGAACACTCCGCTGAACAAATGGGAACAGACTGTAATGAAAAAATAAACGAAGGTTAAATTTCATAATATAAAAAGGAATATTGTAAACCGATAATTTCCGAAGTCAAACTTTCGCCCTTCCCCGGTAAAATCTATACTCGCCCAATGTTATTTTCGCTCTTCATATCTAACTCCTATGTATAGTATGCTGTTTTCTACTTTTCGCGGTAGTGATAAATTCGCCCTCATTACGGATGTTAAAAATCGCGAAATTTAAGATGCAATGTAAATTTCCCAGTTTACAGTAGCAGGTTCTGATGGGGTTTAGATTGTTGGTTTTAATGTTGCTTAGCGTCCCAATAACAGCTCAGGTAATTTCAAAGACGTGCCTGCATGTGTGGAATGAATGAATGTGTGTTGGATAGGGGTATATTGGTGAAATTGTCAACTCGCAATAGCACAGATACATGTATTATGCCGAGTTAAGAGTGCTACCTCGGTGAAATATCATACCATAACAACAATTCAAACAATTTTTCGACTATAACTACTTCATTATAGTTCATTCATTCAATTTTTTGATAACGATCTTAACGCGGTTCAAGACATGGTATTACTGAAAAAGATTTCAGACACTAAACAAAGTTGATGAAATTCTTAAAAAAAGGTTATAATTTTATGCTCGAATTTCAAATATAATATACTTGACGAGATGAAAATAAATGACACATCAATATTTGTAGAATTCAATAAAAATGAAAAACAAATATAATTTGGAAAAAAAAAGATTCACAAGGCTATCGAATTCAGAAAAAAGGTACTAAGACACATGGCAAATACTTCAGTAATGCTCAAAATCCGGCACACAGTAAGCAGGGTCCAGTTATTTGAAATATTAATAGGCTTATATTGCTTCAATCACTTAAACTTTTTTTTTTTAATTTGATATTAACTTTTTTTTTCATTATTTCCTTTATGTTATCGTTTTATTCATACAAATGGTGGGATACCTTGCAACTGCAATGCATGGTAAGTTGTTTAAAAGACAATTTGGTTTCAGTGTGTCGGTGTTCAAACAAGTGCTCGCACATCTATGTCTCGCGTCGCTGGTCTTTATGTTTGAGCCACTTGATAAACGTGTTATTCACTGAATGACATTTTGAAAAACGTTTCCTTTAATTTTTTCAAAACATGCTGAAGGTAAGGTAATACGGAAAGACAGGACAACTTAGGCTTAGTATGTAGGTAAGTAATTGCTGTTAGGCAAAGGCGTTAATCATGGCAGTTCCGGCATACAAGTTAAGCTTTTAGCTGAAAAGACGATTGGATTGCCTATCTGGATTGTTTCCTTCACAAAAGTGAAATATAGTTTATCTTTTATAACTGTATTATCAGGTCTAATCAACATACATCAATTCTTTTCATCGGAAACAAATGAAGAAGAAACAGTTTTCTATTTTTCAACAATGATTACCTTCCTAGAGTAGGTATGCTTATTATCATTTGTTGAAGTTTACATAATTATTGTTAGGAAGGTAGAATTGGATGCTTCGTATTCAGAAAAGTGAAATTCTTTGTATATTTCCAGATCGCAATAAGCAGAGGAGTTGAATTAAAAATACATGTTCATTAAAGTACGATAGATATAAAATTTGACTTTAAATGTAATGATACTCTATCACATATGTACCTACAAAAGATTTAACCGGAAACCATTCAAATCAGAAGTGACGTGTGTAAAACTCCCTCCACATCGCCATTGGGTTTGTAAATACTCAGAAAGATTTATTGTAGCATTGTGTGTTTTCTCTTCGGGTTTTGATCCTAAGTTATGTCCAATGCTACTCCAGCGTGAAGCTGTTAGAATCACCCAACGGAAAACATAATAATACAGGCTGCTTCTCCGAGATAGCTGGCATACTACTGAGCCGAATAGCTGACTTCGGTATCGGACATAACACCAGGCGTTTTGTAGTACCAGTATATTCCTGTTGGCGTTTTCGTGTACTTTTGAGATACATGTACAATGTTTGCGCTAATCCTATTAGACTATTCATTATTGACTATTCTCCTTCATTCTGATATTAATTAGCGACTTTTATTCGTACTGCTATCCTCCTTTTAAAATATTACCAACTAGAAAATAATGCTTGGGGTGATTATTAGCATATTATTCAGATTTTCAATGCCAATATATATATATGGAATTAGCCAGACTTGTGACTATTAGCGCGTTTCAGATCAATGGTATAGATGTATTTGGTAAAGGCAACCCTAAAGACGCCAGATTCATTCGGATCTTTCGCTTTCAGTGTGAGTATTGCTGCTCGGCGAGAACAAGAATCAATACCATTTCATGGTTTATCAGTTACTGAAACGTTACCGTAGTCGACTTCCTGGATTACCGAGACGGTTTTTTTATGTTCATTAATGTTCAGACAATCATTCGTGCTGTATGTTATTTTATAAGAAGTGTTAAATTTGTGAATTAGGGTGTGCTATTTCATTTAAAAGCTTGAAAACCAATTTTATAAAAAGTAATTACCTTTCTTGATTCCCCATGTTGACTACATTATCGACAAGAAACATGCTAACATGTTCGATATATTGAAAATATACCGTGAACCAAGTGTGATGATCAATGATTAAAGATTATATTGATTCAATTTTTAACTTTTAATAACATGAAGTGTCTTCGTTAGGAAGCTTTCGTGAAAACTGCAATTTATTTCATGTGATTTTAAAGGTAGATGTTCAACATTTCAAACAGACTACGATCTTTATTGCATGTTATCGTATGAAACTCCGGTTGATTTTGACATTTCCTTTTACTAGTAATTGAAAATCGCAGTATGAATTTTAATATCCCTTAAAGTCATCAAATGTATTGTACCGAAAATGTGTTAAAACTGTGAAAAGACACAAAAATATTTCAATGGCAATTTTAAAATCAAAACTAATAAACCAGCATATAATGAAACTGCGGGTTTCAAATTGATACCAATATAATAGAGGAAGGACATACAGAACCATAACGAAATGAAAACAGAATCAGGGGCTCTCAAAACTAGTAAACGTTTTCTAAAGTATATTTCAAACCAATAGTGTGACTCGAACTGTTTTATCTTAATCTTTTAAATGCACGGAACAACTAACATCTCTTTTACAACCTTTTCTAGCAAAACAATTTTGATTGAAGCACCGTGATTTTGTTTAATATGGGACTTATCAAAGATCCCTTTTTGTGACATCGCAATAGATAACAGACACGTTCTTGTCTCGCCATGACTAAAACATTTAATTTAAATCATATTCGATCGACTGATTTAATAAAAACATTTTTAGCTATAACAACGGGATAAACTTTTAGGAAAAACGAGACAGGCATTAATTTGGATATATAAGAAGTCATCGAAAATGTCTCAGGAACAGCTTTAGACACGAGAGAGCTGTGACAAATTGTCAACTGATATAAATAACTAATGCTACCGGAGCAATAGATGGCATATACTTAGTCTAAGTAGTTTTTGGCGGACTCATTTGGTACTATATTGCATTGATGGTTTTTGGAGAACGTTTCCCTGTCCGGAGACATGTGTGTGATAGACATTGCAAGGAAATCGGACGGCAATCAAATTAATCATTTAAGGGATGTCACACCAGAAAATGTCTTTCTTATCCACCAGTCGTCCCTGGGAGTAAAACATGCTAAAGTTCCTCAGGCAGAATCGGTCTCAAGGGTTTGATTAATTGTATATATAACGACACTGGTCAATACGAGGCCTAAGCATTCTTGTTCACATTATCTGAAATACCACACCCTGGGACGGTCTACGTTAAACTAAGCAGACATACGAAACAGTACTGTCAAATAAGTCGAATTTCAAATAAGGATATTTGTTCTGATTTATTTCACGACAAATGATCAAAATTTAACTCCACAATAATTTCCAATTTCACAACAAATCTAAAATATATGTAGCATTAAAACTTTTTACGTAGATGTATTATACCGAGGGGACATTACCTAATGCTGAAAACATAAGTATCTGAAAAAACAAACACTATATACTTGGTAATGTTAAAGAAGAAAACCTAAGGGGATATTATATTGGATTTGTGCACATTAATTGGAATTCCAAACACCATGACTGCTAACCTAGTAGTAGAGAATTTAAAGGACATCTTATTCGCTTGTTAACATCATCATAAATACCACACTCAATGACATTCTGCGTAAAAAGTCACCAGAGTAGACATTGCTAAACGGTATGCTAACAAGTCCTGTTTACGTTTTAATCAAGATGCATCAAATGAATAGGCAACGCTTTTCTTTCTTCGCCATGGTGACTTAATTCCGAACTATAATATTTCAGTGTCGACCATGATTAAAAAAACTTATACTGTAAATATTGACGGCCATAATGTTATCATCGATTTAAGCAGATACATTTGTAATATCATAATAGATGTCACATATATTAGCAGAATGTTTTGACTTTTAGGAACCTTGGAGCCACCTTGGTGCATTCAGTCAGAAAGCTTATTTCCTGAAAATATGAATCCAAAACTCGAACAAAAAATTAATCTGCTAAATTTCTGCTATTCTACATTTTAAGTCAATTTTCTACAACATCAATGCTATCGGGTGTTTTAAAGGTTACAGTATGATCATTGTTACACAAACGTTGAATATAAACAGTTCAAGAACGTTGTATAAAGTAGCAGATTTTGACGAAATAATCATCAGTAAACAACGACATATTTAATGTTGGATTTTGGAGATTTTTATAAATACCTATCCGGCAAGAGGTTCATATTGTCTCTATCGCCCTGTTATCTAACATAAAATATTCCGTTAGGGGCCAAATGTTTTAGTGATTTCCGCCAGTAACCACCAGGTGTCGCCATCACATATCAGTTGTCTGGTTATTAACAGGGGATTTTTGATCAACCCAGGTCTCTGTTTTCCAAATGTATCACAGGGCAGCAGTTAATTGGTGCCAATTTACCCCCGATGTTTGCAAGTCTGGTGTCTGAATCCCCACCA